GAATTCTATTCAACAAATAATATACAATCTCCGATGCAAATCCCCATCAGAAAGTAGGAACATGTGAATGACTAAGCATCGATCTAACTATATCAATAAAATTCAGTTCTGCCTTTCAGACACACCACTATGTTATGGGGTTCCGGAAGGTGTCAAGTCACTAACAATTCCATTTTCTTTCATAAAAAATTCTTTAGATAGGTAGTATATACACATGTAAATGTCTGATGCTAATATAAAAGTCGTAGTATAGAAGCAGGTACCCAAAATGTGACAATTCATTATGGGACAAGTATAATGAACTTGCATCTATACCAACGCAAATTCTGAGAACATGGAGTACAAAAGAATCTGAGAACATGGAGTACAAAAGAACTTAAACATTGGATCTATCTGAATTTGGTGTTACAGACAAGGTGAGTAACAATTTTTTCAGGCAAAGGCAGAACAGGAATTACATAATGGAGGGCAAAGTGAAAAAACAGTTGTGATGTAATGCAAGGATGAAAATCATAGTCTGACGAGATTATGGAAAAGGACATCTTGCAAAAGTCCAAACTGATGAAAATTGCATGAGTATTAAATTGGTTGGGACGTGATGAAATTCCTGAGGCTAATGTTAGTGTCAAAATTGGAGGAAACTAAAATTGAAGAGCATGTGAGGCAGAGTGATTCTACCTTGATGACGAGATTGAGAGCACACAAAGAGCCGAGCAGTTCCTATTAAGGTTCTTGAACAAAGATTCATTGCTCAATTTGTAACATAAATGGCTATTTTGGGCAACATGATCAAGGATAATTCATGGAAAAAAATGTTGCAAGATCATTTACAGAGTCAGTGCAAATCATGCAACCTTGTATAGGAAGATGGTGAACTCATTGAGAAATGTGCAAAATGGATAAAGTGAAAATTACCGTTAGAAAACTTGAAACTTTTGAAAAAGAAGTTTAAAATTATATAGTATTAAAATTGATTGTGTGAGTCCGAAAACAAATTGGAGATTGAGAGATCAACGGTAACTTACATGAGATATTGAAAAAAAAATTATTTGAAGACTTTTAACTACTACAGTAAAATGAAAATCATAATAAAGTGAAAAATAATATTTGAAAATTAAAAAAACCATAAAATTTTGAAAAGTTTAGAAAAATGTCATTAACCCAACATTTTTTGAAACCATAAACTTTTGATTGCTTTTCAGAATCAAGACTACTATTGCATTTACAAAAACACTAAGTAAAATAGAAAAATAAGTAGAAAAAAACATGATAAGTTTAAAGTAATGTCATTAAGTTAACATTTTATGAAACCATAAACTATTGAATGTTTTTCAAAATCAAATCTTGTATGGTGTTTTAAAATACACTTAAATAATAGAAAAATAAGTAGAAAAAACACAAGAAGTGAAAAGTGCCATATGAAAACAGGAGAAGTTTGAAAAGTAGTTGAATAATAGAAAGTGAAGTATCATTAAGGAAACTAATTCAAATTTTAAAACTTCTGAATTCATATTAAAAGTTAAAAGTTCCTTTTGAAAATGCTTCAAAATTATGATTTTTTAAGGAGCTACAGTGTGAAACTAAATGAAATAGTAAAACAAATTAAAATAATAATGTTAAAAATTAGAGTATTTATCAATAGTTGAAACTATTTCAATATTCTAGTAAAACTGTAATAAGCATTCATTAAAAAATATTTTCAAAAACTTCAACAAAAATAATTTGTTTTCTAAACATTGAAACACAAGAATTAAGAATAAAAACAAATAGAAGTTGACTATACAAAATAGAGACGCCATTTAATGAACATTTTTAGAACTTCCAATTTTTCTAAAACTATTTGAAGTTAAAACTTCTGCGGACAATTGAAACACGGCAAACTAAAAAGTAAAAAATTTCAAAAATATTACAAAGTGAAAATAGTATTTGAAACTTGCAAAAGTCTGAAACAAGAAAATGTAGCAAATGCCGATCATAAATTTATTTTTTAGAGTCAAGTGTAAAAAAAAAAGATAAAGTTGCAACGCAAGCCAAAAACATGACACAATGAAAAGGTCGAATTACTATACTATCTCAAAATTATGGTATAAGGGGCATAAACGTTCCTAGAAAAAGTATTTTTGTAAAAAATTAAAAAATAAAGATTATTATAGACTTTTAGATTACAATAATTGAATGAAGTAGAAAACAAGTAAAAATATGATAAAGTGAGAACTTTAATTTGGAGTTGAAAATACAAAAAATAAAATAAAATAGCAAAAAAATTAACAAATTGATTGAATGATAAATAATATTTCAAAAATTATAAAGTTTGAACCTGAACAAGGATTATAGAAAACTTTCATTAAGGGGCCTATTTGTAAAGTTCATATATTTCAAATGTGATTGAAAATCCAAAATGTCTTGAAATTTTTTAATGAATAACTTGAAAAAATTTAATGAATAAGTGGGGTGGGGGGGGAGGGGGGGTGTGTGTATTGAAATAAGAGTGGTTTAAACTTACATAAATATGATCGACTTAAAGTGTATAAGGAAATACAGGGTAGGGAAGTGTGCTCGTTTACATATAAAGAAGTCAATATAGATAGATAACCCCCTTGATCAAGGACTGAAGTACAATTTCTTGTGCATGTCAGAAAGTTGATTTGATAAATTCTTCACAAGTGCGTTGAAGACCAAATTTCTAAAATAAGTTCTCATGAAAGATATATGAACATGGAATTCCATCACACCGATGAGAAGATACAATTTAAATTAGCCTCGTATCACACTGAAGGGCGCTTTAAGGCGGAAATTTTAACAAGAAAGATGATATACACGATCGATGGAGCGAGATGTGAGCACTAATTGTGAGACTTCAATATAGTAAAAAAATTAGGATACTATAAATCAATAAATGTATTTTGAATGTCAAGATTCCTAGAGTTTTAGCTATTAGAATGAAATATTTATACAAAAAACAAATGCCCAAAAAGTGACCAGTACTTCAGAGCAAGAATAGAAAACAAACCAAAAAAATATGATAAAGAGTTTCCCGGCTTTAGAACAAGAGCTTGAAAAACAAACATATCAAACATATGATAAGACTTGGAATGGTATTCGATAATTTTGAAAAACAACTTCAAAATTGGAGTGAAATAGCACCAAGCAAACTTTTTAATAAATTTAAAGACGATAAATATGAGTACTAGACAAAATAGCAAACAAAGTCAAAATATGATAAAGTTAAAGTAATAATTACTTATATCAAATGTTTGAGAAGTACAAAAAATATAGTAGAATATATTCCAGAACAAATACTTACAGAATCCCAAGCTAAAAAATTGAAAGCATGTGAAACAGTGTTTGAAAAGTACAAAAATATAGTACAAAGTCTTCCAAAACAAATATTTATAGAAAATCTAAGGTAAAAAGATTAAAACATGTTCAACTTGTAAAAGTAAGAAATGAGATGCTTAAAAGGTTACTATAGTAGTTACAGGATACAAGGCTAAAAACATTTGAAACTGGTAAAAGCAACAATGATATACTTAAAAGTAGCAGTGAGATATAAACTTAAATGAAAATATATAGAAATGTCTTCCAAGGTAAATATTTATAGAATCCAAAAGTAAAAAATGAAAACATGTGAAATGACATTTGAAAATTTGTGCAAGCTATTGTAAAACTTTGAAGTTCAAGCTTTTAAATATTTGAAGATTAAAACTCTTTTTATAAAATATAAACAAGGAAAATGTAAAACAACCCCAAGTAAGAGGGGAAAAAAGATATTAGAAAACATGAAAGTTTGAAAACCTGAAAAGTCTGAAAAATATGTAAAGTTAAGAAAACTTGAAAAAAGTTTGAGAATTTGAAAAGTTTGAATATTAAAATGAGATATCAAAATTTTTGAAAATTTGGATATTTAAAACTTGAAAAAAATATCAGAACTAAACAAAATAAAAAAACAAGTCAACTTATGAGAAGTTAAAAAAGATATTTGAAAAACTAGTAAAGTGATGAAAACTTGAAAACATTAGAAGAATTGGAGAGTTTGACTTTTTTTATTTTTTGAAAGTTATATTAATTATTTAAATGTTGAAAACTTTTCAAGATCAAGGCTTTTTCATTAAATATGAAACATTGAAAACTCTTTTTAGAGAATATGTTAAAGTAGAAAATCAAATATTTTAAAAGTTGAAAGCTTAAAAACTATAAAAAGCTTTTAAAGTTGTGAAAACTTGCAAAAAGTTTGTTTTAACTAAAAAAGTTTGAAGATTAATGTTAAATTTCCAAAGAGTTTTGAGGATTGGAAAGGTTAGGGGGGAAAATGAAAGTTTAAAACATAGAAAAATATTTAAGATTGACAATTTTCTATAAAATATAAAAACTAAGCAAAATGAACGAGTAACATTATGTTTAAGTAAAGAAAAAAAAGATTGAAAACTTGAAAGCTTGAAAGCTTGAAAACATGAAAAGTCAAAAAACTTTAAGTTTCACAAGGTTTGAAAATTAAAGCGAAATACTGAAATGTTTGAGAAATTGAAATGTTATAAAAACTTTAAATTTTTTTGAGAAATTGTTAAAGTTTGAAAAATATGGAAACATGTGAAAAAAATATTTGAAAATTTCTAAAAGTTACTTTACTTACAAAAATCGATTGAAAACTTCGAAAAGAATTTGAGAAATAAGAAAGTTTGCAAATTAAAGTAAAATGACATAAAAGAAGGAAATTATAAAGTTTGAAAACTTGAAAAATGTTTTGAGACATGGAAGTTATGAAAAATTGAAAACAGTAGGAGATATTGTAGTGAAACATCCAAAATTTTGAGAAATTTAAAAGTTTTAAAGTTCGAATTTTTTTAATAAATAGGAATGCTTGGAAATTAAAGTAAAATAATCAAAAGTTTGAAAATTTGCAAGGTTTGAAAACTTGAAAAACATTAAATTTGGAGAACTAAGTGATATACAAAACAAGTCAACTTATGTCAAAGTGAAAAAGAAGAGAGATAGTACACAGAATGCAATACCATTTATCTTTCTTAGCCCTTCTTGAAACCAAGATTAAAGATGGAAATATCCAATCAATTGCTAAGAAGATAGCTAGAGACTGGAACTGGTTTTCAAATGGGAATAACAATGATATAGCCAGGATTGTTATTCTATGGGATCCACATATTATGGACATTCAAATAAATAGTTTCTCAGCTCAGCAAATAACTTGTGCTGTTAAGACCACTGATGGAAGATTAAGTTGTATCATTTCTTCAATCTATGGTTCCAACCATCTGGTAGCCAGGAAAAATTTATGGTCAGAATTATCTCAGATTCATCAAAGCATAGGCAATCTGCCTTGGCTTATATGTGGAGATTTCAATGCCTTGATAAGCAATGAGGAGAAGCTAGGGGGCTCTATGCTTTCTGAAGCAGATACAAAGGATTTTAAACAGTTTATTGAAGATTGTAATCTGTTACATCTCAAAACCATTGGATGTTTTTTTACATGGAACAACAAACAAGACTCTACAACAAGGGTATGGAGTAGGCTTGATAGGGCCTTAGTAAATGATTCCTGGTTTCTAGAATACAATTCGAGCCATGTTGAATTCTTGTCTCCTTGTTTCTCTAATCATTCACCTGCTCTGGTGTCTATATATGAGGATAATGTCAAAGGTAAAAAACCTTTCAGGTTCTTTCAAATGTGGGCCAATCATGAAAATTTCCTCCCTACAGTTGCAGCAATATGGCAAACCCCCATTGAAGGATATACAATGTTCAAAGTGCATACAAAGCTGAAGCTTTTAAGGAATGAACTAAAAGATCTAAACAAAAGGAGCTTTTACAATATTAGTGAGAAAGTCCTCAGAGCCAAATCTGAGCAGGAGAATGTCCAAAATCTGCTTCAGCTTGAGCCTCTTAATTCCTTACTTATAAAACAGGAAAAAGAATGCATCAATTCTTATAACAAGCTCTTGGAATGTGAATTATCCTTCTATCAACAAAAAGCAAGAGTTGCATGGTGTCTTTAGGGTGATAGAAGCACTAAGTTTTTTTCATTCTGTTATAAAAGCAAACAGACATCACAACAGAGTTATGGTCCTCTATAATAGCATGGGGAAAAAATCACAGATGGTGATGATATTGCAAAGGAGCTCATCTCTTATTACAAGAATCTAATGGGAACTGCTATTTCAACCACCAAGCCTGATATTAACATAATTCAGAGTGGACCATCCTTACTGATATTCAAGCCAGAAATCTATCTAGCCCAGTTACAAAAGAGGAAATCAGATTGGCTGTGTTTTCTATCCCTGAGAATAAGGCTCCAGGACCAGATGGCTACAGCTCTTCTTTCTACAAATCTGCATGGTCTATCGTGGGGGATGATGTTACATTAGCTATTGAAGAGTTCTTCAAAACTGGGAAACTTCTGGGTGCTGTAAACTCAACATCTATTACTCTCATTCCGAAGGTACATTGTCCTCAAACTCCTGCTGACTTTCGACCAATTTCATGTTGCAACTGTCTATACAAATTTATTTCTAAAATCCTTGCAAATAGACTACAATCTGTTATTGGCTCAATCATCAGTGAAGCTCAAAGTGCTTTTGTTAAGGGTAGACAAATTTCTAATAATATCCTGTTAGCACATGAGCTTGTGAAGAATTATGGAAGAAAACATTTATCCCCAAGAGCTATGCTAAACATTGACATAATGGTTCTATGCATGGATACTTCAAAGATGAAAGAGGGTTGAGGCAGGGAGATCCTCTATCCCCTTATCTGTTTATTATAGGCATGGATTACCTCTCTTGGAACATGAACATGTTGAAGCATGATAAGAAGTTCAAGTTCCATCCTAAGTGTGGTAAGCTCAAGATCACACATGTCACTTTTGCTGATGATCTCCTCTTATTCTGTAAAGGGGATGTTTACTCAATTCAAAAGTTATATCAATGTGTCAAGGATTTTGGAGTCACTTCTAACCTTGAAGCAAATCTCTCTAAATGTTCAATATTCTATGGAGGAGTTAAGGACTCTGTTAAAAGCTCAATTCTTGGATGCCTGGGTTTTCCTGAAGGAGTCTTCCCTATAAGATATCTTGGTGTTCCTCTAATTTGCAAGAGATTATCATACGTTGATTGCACTCCTCTTTTTCAGAAAATCTCTAGTCAATTTCAAACCTAGCTGAAACACAAACACTTGCCATATGCTGGTAGACTTCATGTCATAAAGACTGTAATATTGGGTGTTCAAATTTTTTGGACTTCTAATTATATTCTACCAGCTAGGGTCCTGCAGAAGATTGATGATTTATGTAGAGATTTCCTATGGGGTAAAACAGATCAAGCTTTTAAATCCCCACTGGTTGCTTGGGATAAAGTTTGTAAAGAGAAGAAATATGGAGGTCTGGGGATATTTTCAGCAAAAATCTGGAACATTGCCTCTGCTCTAAGAACCATATGGTATGTACATACACACAAAGAGTTACTATGGATAAAATGGATCCACGACAACTATTTAAAAGATACATCAATCTGGCAAGTTACAGTGAAAAAAAGAGGATTCTTGGTTATGGAAACAACTGCTTAAAGTGAGGGATATGGCTATTGCAAGTTGTGAAAGTGTAGATGCGTTGAAGCAAATTATCAGCTCTTGTCATAGAAACTCAAAAGTGTGCTTATCTGAGCTTTATTCAAAAATTTCCCCAGCATCTACTAAGGTTCCATGGTTCACTACAGTATGGGAAAATTTGAGCTACCCAAAGCACTGTTTCATCCTATGGCTAGCAGTGCAAAACAAGCTTCTTACAAGAGATCGATTGCTCAAAAGAGGAGTCATCAACACCAGCCTCTGTTACTTATGTAATGAATCTGTTCTAGAATCCCAAAATCATCTCTTTTTTGAATGCAGCTTCACAAATGCAGTTTGGAATGGAATCATGGATTGGCTTCAATTCGATTGGAAGCTTGTGACTGGAATCGCTTGCTAGATTGGTTTAACTACAGGCTAAGAGGAAGAGGTTTTAAGCAAAAAGTGAAAAGAATGGCTTTTTCTTCTACTATCTACAGGTTGTGGAGGGAACGCAACACCAGACTCTTCAAAATGAAATCCAAAAGTGTTGAGCAGATTATCAAGGAAATCAAAATTGATATCATGACCATCATATTAAATGGTTCATATCTAGCGGAAAAAAAAAGAATGGCTTATATCACTATAAAACCATTGTATATACTTAGCTGGCTTTAGTTTACCTTTTCTGTTGATTTCTTGATTGTTTTTTTTCCGTTCATATACTGAAATATTTGATGTACAAATATTTTCCATTTGGTAAATGAATAAAATTCTTCATTGACAAAAAAAAAAAAAAAAAAAGAAGAGAGATTTGAAAAAACCTTGAAAAGTTAAGAAAACTTGAATAAATAGTTTGAGAAATTGGGAAGTTTAAAATTAAAGGAAAATGTCAAAAGAGTCTGAGAAATTGGAAAGTTCGAAAACTTCTAAAAAAAGATTGAGGAATTTAAAAGTTTGAAAACTAAAGTGAAGCTTGAGAAATTGAAAGAAATTTAAAGTGAAATGTCCCCAAAAAAGATAAGTTAAGAGAACCAAGCGAAATGGAAACAAGTCAACTTATAAGTAATGTCAGTGGGAAAAAAAAGATATTTGAAAAGACTTGTAAATAGTTTAAGAAATTGGGAAGTTCTAAAATTAAAGTGAAATATCAAAAAAATTTGAGAAAGAGGAAAGTTATGAAAAATTGAAAAAAGATTAAGAAACTAGAAATTTTGAAGGAAAAAATGTAAACATGTGAAAATGGTAATTACATATTTGTGAAAGTCATATAAAATATAAAATATTTAAACCATAAAAACTGAAAAGAGTTAAAATCAAAGTGAAATGTCAAAAAAAATTTTGAGAATATGAAATGTTGAAATTTTTAAAGAGACTGTAAAGTTTGAAACTGAAAGTGAAATGTCCAAAGTTAGAGAAATTCGGAAGTTTCAAAACTTGAAAAAAGTTTAAAGTATAAAGTCTGAAAATTAAAGTATAAACAACCACAATAAAAATTTCAGAATTAGGCATGGTTGAAGAACTAGGCGAAATTCAAGACAGGTACACTTATGTCAAAGTGAAGTGAGGGGAAAAGATATTTGAAAAAACTTGTCAAAAGTTTGGCAAATTGGAAAATTATTAAAGGGAAATGCCAAAAAAAGTTGAGAAATTGAAAAGTGATAACTTAAAAAAGTTTGAGAAATGGGTGCTAAGAAAGACTTGAATTTTTGGGAAGTCGAAAAAATTTGATAAAAATGTAAATATGCGAAAAAGGTATTTGAAATTTTGTGAAGGTCGTATTAATTAAAACTTTGAAACTTTCCACAATTAAGATTTTTTTAATAGAATATAAAAACTTGAAAAGGGTTTAAAAAGAGTTTGAGAAATTGGAAAGCAATTAAGATTTTTTTAATAGAATATAAAAACTTGAAAAGGGTTTAAAAAGAGTTTGAGAAATTGGAAAGTTTAAACTCAAACAAATTTTGAGAAGAAAAACTTGAAAAGGGTTTAAAAAGAGTTTGAGAAATTGGAAAGTTTAAACTCAAACAAATTTTGAGAAGTTGAAAATAGTAAAGTGACATTTCAAAAAAAATAGCAAAGTTTGGAGAACTAAGCGAAATGCAGAACAAGTCAACTTGTCAAATTATGTCAAAGTGAAAACAAGATATTCGGAAAAATCAAAAAAATTTGAGAGATTGGAAAGTTCGAAAATTAAGAAAAATCTCAAAAGTTTGAGAAATTGGAAAGTTATAACTTGTTGGTTACGATAATTCGACAATAGTTTGAGAAATAGAAAAGTTATAAAAACTTTTAAAAAGTTTGAGAAATAGGACAGCTATGAGACCTTGAAAACAGTTTAAGAAAATGGAAATTTCGAAAAAGATTTAAACATGTGAAAATGGTATTGGAAAATTTGTGAAAGATATTAATTACTTTAACACATTTTTATTAAAATATAAAAACGTCAAAAAGGGTTAATGAAATCGAAAAGTTTGAAAATAAAGTGAAATGTGAAAAGAGTATGAGAAATTGTAAATTTTTGAAATATTGAAAAATGATTGAAAAAATGGAAAGTTTGAAAAACGTAAACATGCGAATCATACTTGAAAATTTGGTTAGCACTATTTTGTTATTTAACCATTGAATTTTTTTGAACTGGGATAATTTTAAAATGAAAGTGAAATCTCAAAATTTTAAGAAATTGGGAAAAGTTTGAAAATTCAACATAAAAATTAAAAAAGCATGAAACGCGTGAGAAGTAAAGTGAAATGTCCACAAAAAATAGGAAAGTTCGGAGAGCTAAGCGAAATGCAAAATCAAGTCAACTTGTCAACTTTTGTAAAAGTGAAAAAAAAGATGGTTCAAAAAACTTGTAACAAGTTTAAGAAATTAGAAAGTTTGCTAATAATAGAAATCTCAAAAAAGTTTCAGAAATTGGAAAATTATAATTATAACTTTAAAAAGCTTGAAAAATAGGAACGATATGACAACTTGAAAAAAGTCTGAAAAATCAGAAATTTTGAAAATAAAAAAAGTTGAAAAATAGGAACGATATGACAACTTGAAAAAAGTCTGAAAAATCAGAAATTTTGAAAATAAAAAAAAAAGTAATCAAGTAAAAATAGTATTTTAAAATTTTTTGAAATTCATATTACTTATTTAAATCATTAAAAAGATTTATGAAAATAGAAAATTTGAGAATGATAATAAAATGTCGGTGGAAAAATGGAAAGTTTGAGAAAACGTTGACATATGAAAATGATACAAGAAAATTTGGTGGAAGTTTTTTTATCATTTAAACCATAGATAATTTTACGAAATTAAGACTTTTTAAAAAAATATGAAAAATTTGAAAAATTTTGAGAAATTGGAAAGTTTGAAAATCAAAGTGAAATAGCAAAAGAGTTTGAGAAATTGGTAAGTCTGAGAACTTGAAAAAGTATAAATACAAAAAGATTTGAAAAATGTAGACATATGAAACTAATGTTTCAACTATTTGCGAAAGTTATTTTTTATTTAAACAGTTAAACTTTTCCAAATTGAGAAATTTTAAAATTAAAGTTAAATGTCAAAAAATTAGGAAATTAGGAAGTTTGAAAATGGAAGTGAAATACGAAAGTTAGAAATTAAGACATTTTGAAAGCGTGAAAAAAGTTTAATAATTGGAAAGCTTGAAAATTAAGTCAAACATCCAAAAGTTTGAGAAATTGGAGTGTTTGAAAACTTTAAAAAAATAATTATATTGGAAAGTTTGAGAATAAAATTGAAATCTCTAAACAATTAGAGAAATTAGAAAGTTATGAAAACTTAAAAAAAGAATGAGAAATTGGAACTTTGACAACTTATTGGAAGTTTGATAACTTAAAAAACTTAGATAAATATAAAAGTCTGCAAATTAAAGTGAAATGTCCATAAAATTGAAAAGTTTGGAGTAAGCAAAATGCAAAACAAATCAACTGGTCAACTTATGTCAAAGTGAAAAAAAAAATATTTAAACAAATTGGAAGAAGTTTAAGAAACTGAAAGTTTGAAATTTTTAGTGAAATCTCAAAACATTTGAGAAACTAAAAATTTACAAAAACTTGAAAAAAGTTTGAGAAATTACAAATTTTGAAAAAAAATAAACATGTGAAACAGGTACTTGAAAATTTGTGAAAATCATACAATTATTAAAACCATTAAAACCTTTTCAAAACTAAAACTTTTTTATAAAATATATCAAAAATTGAGAAGGGTTTATAAAATTAGAAAGTTTAAATTAAAGCGGAATGTCAGAGGAGTTTGTGAAATTGGAATGTTTTGACAACTTGAAAAAGATTGAAAATATGGAAGGTTTGAAGGAAAAAAGATGAAATTATGATGAAAGTTATTTTATTATTAAAACTGTTGAAGAAGTCTCGAGATTGAGTCAATAAAAATGGAAAGTTTGAAAATTGAAGTGAAATGTCAACAGCATTTAAGAAATAGAAAAGCTTTGAAGACTTTAAAAAAAGTTTTAAAAAATAAGAAGTTATTTTATTACTAAAACCACTAAAAAATTTTCAAACTGGGGAGATTTTAAAGTTAAAAAGGGAAATTTCAAAGAAGCTTGCCAAACTGGAAAGCTAAGAAAACATTTTTAAAAAATAAAGAAATTGAAAGTTTAAAAATAATAGTGAAATATACAAATGTTTCAGAAAAGTGGAAGTTTAAAAACTTGAAAAAGGTAGCTACAAGAAAATATGTTACAAATCATATAAAAAGTCATTAAATAAATATTATTCCCAAAAGAAAAAGCCAATATGCATACAAAAGATTTAAAAAAGGCAAAAGAAAAAATATATATATACGCCGAAACCTAAAAGAACATATTCAAAGAAAAAAAATATGTAATAAGAAAAAAGGACAAAAGTAACCGTACTTGTTTTAAGTGTAGACAAAAAGGTCATTTTGCAAATGAATGTTACAGTAAGAAAAAGGTTAATACCGCTTGAAAATTAAAGAAATTAGAAAGTTTGAAAATAAATGTAAATATTGAAAATGGTATTTGAAAATTTAGTGAAAGTTATATTAATTATTTAAAACTTTGAAAACTTATCAGTATTAATACTTTTCTTATAATGCACGAAAACTAGAAAAAAAGTTTGAAAAACTAAAGTTTGAAAGTTAAAATGAAATGTCAAAATGAGAAATTAGAATGTTTTGAAAACATGAAAAAAGTCCGAAAAAAATGAAAGGTTTGGAAAACTGTAAACATATGAAAACGAGAAAAAATGCAACCATATGGAAAGTTCGAACAAAAAAATGTAAGCATGTGAAAATGGTATTTCAAAATTTTGTAAAAGTCATTTCATATTTAAACCGTAGAAAACTTTTCAAACTTGACTAAAGTTTAAGTCAGAAAATTTAAAAATACTTGAAAATACATATATCCGTGAAAATAAAATATTTGAAAACCAT